AATAAATGAATAAAATAAAGGTCCATCAACATCCAAAAAATAATTTTAAATGGCAATTATAAATATCTTAAAAGATCTGGAGGAAGAGGTGACCAAACTGACTAAACACATGGGGAACTGTCAGCATGGAAATACAAACTATGAAATAAAACTATGAAATAAAAATTATAGATGAATGGATAAAAAAATGTGGCATGTATACACGATGGAATATTACTCAGCAATAAAAGAGAATAAAATCACAGCATTTGCAAGTAAATGGATGGAGTTAGAGAAGATAATGCTAAGTGAAGTTAGCCAATCCCAAAAAAACAAATGCCGAATGTTTTCTTTGATATAAGAAGGCTGATTCATAGTGGGATAGGGTGTGGGAGCATAAGAGGAATAGACAATTCTAGATAGAACAGAGGGGTTGGAGGGGAAGGGAGGGGCATGGGGTAATTAATGATGGTGGAATGTGATGATCATTACTATCCAAAGTACATGTATGAAGACACGAATTGGTGTCAATATACTATGTATAACACCAGAGATATGAAAAATTGTGCTCTATGTATGTAATAAGAATTGTAATGCATTCTGCTTCATATATAAATTTTAAAAATTTACATTAAAAAAACAAAAAAATGAATTCTAGAGAGAAAAACAGAATTTTGTAGTATGTCAACATCTCAGAGAACACTCAGAAAAAAAATTATTACTAAATTTGAAGACAGTTCAATAGAATTTATTATTTAAAAAAAAAACATGGAGACAAAAGAATTGAAAAAGAGTGAAGAACTCTTAGTGACCCTTGAAACAATATCAAGTTTGTGTTATGTGCATGTTTGGGATTTTAAAGCATGATGGGGAAACAAGAAAAAGAAGGAGACTTGGGAAGTTTGACCTGATAAAGTCTGGTATTTTCTCAAATTTTCTGAAAAACATGAATCCATAGAACCAAAAAAAAAAACCCAACTCTATCAGCGTAAATATAAAGAAAACCACAGTCATAGTCAAACTGCTGAAACAAAAAATAAAGTCTTAAAAGGAATCAAGGATAAAACAATAATAAGAATGATGGCTGACTTCTCATTTAGGAAAACAGAGGCCAATTGACATTTTTAAAGTGCTAAAAGAAGGGTAATATGGTGCTTGTATTGTACATTATATAACAGTCTGTGTGTGGACTTGGGCAGCATCCCACACTCAAATGCTCATGTGAGATAAAGGCTATACATAGCCTCACTTCAGCTCAGGTCAGGGTTTGTTGCCAGATGACTTTTGGTGCCAGAGGGGTTTTTTTTAGAGCAATCCTTTTAGTTTCAGAGCTTTTTTGGGATTTCAGAATTATAGGAAAAACATTTGTGGACCTTCTTGTTAGGAGAAGAACTGGTGATAGAAATTTCTAAATGTTTATACCCCTTTGATGCAGCAGCTTATAAGAAACTGTCCAATGTAAATAATAAATCTTGTGCTCCAAGTGTTACATACAAGGATACTATGACAACCTTTTGAATAATTAAAAAAATAGAAAACAACCAAAATGTTCCAACAGCATATTGTTAGGTAAATTAGTTATAGTATGTTTATACAATGAATGAATTGCTTTGTAATCATCAGAAGCCTGAGATCTTTAGAGCAGTCCTTATACCTCTCTTCATCATGAAAAATCCATTATAGAAAAATATTGGGATGGCTAAATAAATACACATAACCTGCAACATGAAAAGATCAAAAAACAGTGTGATTCTAAATGTTAATAGTAGTTATTGCTCCATGGTTGGATTGTGGTTTTTATTTGCATTGTTTGCTCTTTTGTATTTTCTAACTTTCCATCAGTGCCCATGTATCCCTTTTGTAATCAGAAAAATAAGGCTATTAAAAAAAAAAAAAAAAGCACTGAAGGTATAGGTCAGTGGTGGAGTGCTTCCCTTGCATATGCCAGACCTGGTTCAGTCCCCAGAACTGCAAAAAAAAAAAAAAAAAAGAGAGAGAGAGAGAGAGAGATAAATAAGTTTTTAAAAGCAAAATGATAAGGAAGGCATTCCTATTGCTTTTAAACTTCAGCTCAGGTTGCTTAAATCAGGAATCATTTTATTAACAAAGATCACAAAAGTTCAGCATTATTAAGGCCATAGCTCAGTATATCATCCATATCCCCAGACCTAGTGTCTGCACACCTGGATTTAAAGTATCTCTTTTAAGCTGTACTGCCTAAAGCATTTCCAGAAGGAATCCTGTTAAATGAAAAATAAGACCTTTCATGAGGGATACTGAACCATTTCTGTTGCCACATCAAACACTCTCTGACTTAATCTCCAGAGAACAGCCTTCTCAGATAAATTGTCCACCACTAAATCTATTTCTTGGCTTGTTTTAAAAAGTCTGCAGATTCTTTCATGAGGTCATTTTTTTAAGCTTAAGTATCTACTTTGCTTTAAAAATCTATTTTCTCCATTTTCAAAACGAGCATAGCAGGAATTAAAATTGGATCACTTTTTGCTAGCTACATCATACATCTGGAGAGAATTCCAGAGTACTAGTGTCATGGTATGTTACAGCAAGGACTGTCAAGTCTAATTTTTGCAGACCAGCAAAACTGCAGCCAGCAGTTTTGATCCTTCAGCTGTGGTATGTTTTCTGAAGTTATTCTTAAAAGTCAGTGAAAAGTAAAAAAGCCTGTAACCTGGTCCTACCTGAATGGTGATGTGACAGTAAGAGGAAACATCTTCATCTTCTGAATTCTATTGATTCATAATTAGACCTGAGTTGGAAGAAGCCTGAGATCTTGAGAGCAGTTGCTGAGTCCTTATACCTTTCTTCATCATTCTAGACATATCGTGTCTAATAGCTATTGAAGTACTAACAGTAATAATTATATTTTTCTTGTTAATTAAAAAGTGGCTGTTCTAATTTCATACATTAGTTTCCACATGCTTCATATTTGCTAGAATTCCAAGTGGACTTGGAAATTTCACTGTGGGAAGATATAACAAATTCAGTTTCTTTAATAGATAAGAAGATTGTTAATATTTTTGGTGTCATCTTGGGTCCAGTTTTGTAAGTTCTGTTTTTTAAGGAATGTGTCCTTTTCATTTAACTTGTGATCAATTTCACTGATCTTTTCAAAGAAACAACCTTTGGCTTTGTTAGTGTTCTCTGTTTGATTGTAGCTCTCTATTATTTCCTTCCTTTTACTTAGTTTGCTTTTATTTTGATCTTGTATTTCTAGTTTCTCAAATTGGAAGTGTAGGCCCTTCTTTTCAGCCTTCCTTATTTTCCAACATAGCATGTAAAGCTCTAAATTTCCTTTTTTTTTTTTTTTTGAGAAAACACAAATTTTATTTTATAGTGTTTGCTTATACATCTCTCCAAAATATTGTTTGCCCATTCTCTCTGAACCATGAAACATTTCTTTCTTTATTTAAAATAGACATCTTTTTAAAAATGATTTGAAAATGTTTTAGGTTCTACACTAAAGATTGACCACATATGAATGAAAAACACTTGTTCATAGAAATTCAGACTATATAGCTTGAGAAAAACTAGTACTTATCAAGCACCTACTGTATGCTGGGCTCCTTGCTATCATTCATTAACATTGTCCTTGAATGCTCTTGACAAAGTTTTGAGGAAAGTGCATTTCTTGCTAGAAAATTGAGTCAGAGAAGCTAATAACCTAGCCAGCATGCTTGGCATGCTTGTTGTTTTCTCTCCAGCATACTATCTGCATAACTTCTTTTTCTTCTTTCTTCTTGTTATTGTGTCTTGTGTTTAACTGAATCTTTTTTTTTTTTCTTTTGGTGGTGCTGGGGATTGAACTTGGGGCCTTTTGCATGCAAGGCAAGCACTCTATCAACTAAGCCATATCCCCAACCCTGTTTAACTGAATCTTGACTCGATGGTTGGGGCCTACTGATCATAGCTTCCACTCTTGGCTCCTCAAAGTGACTTTGTGGGTGGTCTCCCATGCCTTAGTTCCTCCATCTGGGTTCCTTTTCTTCTGAATGTGGCCACTAGCAAATTTAAAATGACACATGTGGCTTGCATTCTCTTTTTGATTCAGTGTTGATTCAGGTATTGGTTTTCTGCAGTGTTCCCAGGGCTATGTTCCCCGGGGGCAGTAGGCCTAGAGTTTATGAGGTTACTGTTGGGTCTGGGGACATGGGCTTTGGTTTCAGAGGATTCAATCCTTGGGCTGCTGGCTCCAATGCAGAAACATTATGGTGGAGGAGCACAGAGAGGAAAAGTTGCTCAGCTCAAGGCAGCAGGGAAGCAGAGAGAGAAATTGAGGCTCCAGGGGCAAAATATAAACCCCAAAGTCCTCTATAAATTTCTTTCCAACCACTTAGAAATTTATGTATTCCATAAATTTCTTTAAATGCTTTTTTGAGGTAATAATTGATACAAACTATACATAAACAAAGTACAAATTTGATAAAAACACACATCCATGAATTCTTTATGATAATCAAGATAATAGCCTTATCTACCATCACCAAAATTTACTCAGTTCCTTGGCAATCACCGAGTAGCTTTCTGTCATATAGTTAGCATTTTCTAGAATTTAAGATACATGGAATTATAAAACATGGGCTTTGTTCTCTGACTTCTTTCACTCAACATAATTATTTGAGGTGCATTTACATTATTTTATCAAGTGTTCATTCCTTTTTACTGACCTCTGCAAGAAATGCTGCCATTGCTTATTACATCAGTTGATTAACAATATCACCAAGGCTCTATATCTGTTTAGTTCCTCACCATTTGATTAAAACCAATTTGAGCCATCTGTTCCATTTCTCTTACCCTAATCATATTTTTATCTTGGCTAACAACTGACTTTTTGATCTCTAGAAAAATTTTGATGGGACTTAACATAAAATCTATTCATCATTCTTGTGAAAATATTTGTTTTATCTCAATTGCACCAGATTGTTGAATTTTTTTGAAGGTGAATCAAATAAAACTAGGCTATAACTAAAAAGATGTTAAAATGTTTGCCTTTTTTTTCACAGGTAAAAATGTCTCCATCATATCATCAATCCAGAGGGGATCCTGCTAAGAAGGTGAGTGAGCTTTAAAGGCAAAAAATAATTCCACCTTCGGTGTGTTTATTTTCCTCTGTTGTCTTGTCAAAGTGGCAATGATTTTTAATCATCTTAATGCTGTCAGAGATCCTTTATGATTGGTTGCTTTAAGGGCACATTGCCAGGACTCCTTGGCTCTTCCACAGAAGCCAGGTGGGGTTTGGGGCCTAGCATCAGTCTCCTGGCAACTACCATGTTCTAGAATTCTCATCCTCTACAACAGGCATGGCATCCTGATATCAGTGAGTGGCAGCAGATGAAGGATATTCTAGGGAGAAAGCTGTATAGATTTTCTTTTCTTTTTTTTTGTTATTTGTTCTAATTAGTTATACGTGATAGCAGAATGCATTTTGACATATTATACATATATGGAATATAACTCTCATTCTTCTAGTTGTAGAATTACATTGTTCATAATCATATATGCATATGGGCTAGTAATGTCCAATTCATTTTATTATCTTTCCTATTCCCATTCCCCCCTCCCTTCCCTTATTCCCCTTTTTCTAATCCAGAGTACTTTGGGTGAGATTTCCTTAATCATGTGCTTTCCTCTAGAGAGCTGTGCCTAAAACAAACACTGTAGACTAGACCTGTCATCTGTAGTGTTCTAGTTCCTATTTGTAAACTGGGTGGCACAGATGGACCTCACCTGAGTGAGTGCTTCACCTGAGCAATCCTCAGATGATGTCAAGAGAACCACTAAAACCCTTTTCTTTCTTCAGCTTCAACAGTACGGTTGAAACATAAATAGACTGACATTTCTCTTGTGTTTTCTTTCACCATTTTTCTTTCTCTGATAGTGAAGCATTTTCTTTTCTTAGCCTTTTTTGCAGTTTCAGCCAGCATCCATGTCAGCAAAGGATTGTAGAACAAAAATAACAATTCACTGTCTCTCTTGACTAACAGCGGGCTTTAGCTTCAAAGCAATGTGCCAAAAACAGGTCCCTTTTCTCTGCCTGCAGAAGCCCCTGAGACTTTTTCAAAAGAAAAAAGAAAAACAAAAGTTGTGGTCTGAAAAGCCCTGTAGCATGCTGTGCAGGAAAGTCTTTTGCACTCTTGTCAAGGCAGCAAGGGCAGCAAGCCTGAGGCGCTGAGTGTTGCTACTCAGAACCATCACACTGTACTGCAGGGAGCTTAGTTACCTTCATGCTCCTACAGGGAATACCTGAGACAGGTTACTCAGGAGAAGAGGGCTTATTTAACTCATGGTTTTGGCAGTTCAAGTTCAGGATTGGACAGCCCTGTGGGTTTGGGCCCCTGGCCAGAGTGGCATATCATGGCAGGAGCACATGGTAGAGTGAATGCTGCTCACATCACAAGCTTGGAAGCAGAAAGAGGATTAGACAGAGTCCCACAATCCCTTCCAAATGCCTGGGCCTAATGGCTCAGGGACCTTCCATTAGGCCCCTTTTCCCTGAGATCCACAGTACCTCCCAAAACTGCTTCCCCAAGGACCAAGCCCTTAAAACATGGACCTTTTGGTACATTTAACATCGAAACGACGGTAAAAACCTGAGTCTTTCTCCAGCTGCAACAGTGCTGCTGAAATGTATATAGTCTCAATAAACATATAAGGAAATTGGAATGCAAGGGCAGTTTTGTTTTTTGTTTTTTTTTTTCCTGTATAAGCTCTCCAAATTTAGCCATAGGAAACACCTCCAAAGTACTGATTAAAAATGTGTGCTGAGGATACAACCCAAGTTGGATTTAAAGGTTTACTCTTCTTAATTATCTGAATAACCCCAAATAAGCTAGCCTTTCTTTTTCTTTCTATGTAAAATAGTAATGCTCCCTCTCTGAATTCTCATAAATATTAAATGTAATACTAAGTACCTAACATTGTGTTTGACACATAATAAGTTCTCAAGTTGTTGTCAATACTAGTATTAAAGCATAAGCCTTCCAAACAGAGGATACATGACTAATCATGTATCCTGTGTTTATTATGCTGCTATGTATTATTGTCCAATCAGCAAATGTTTTTTTATACTCCATACTGAGCTAAATATTAGATAAGAGATAAAAAATACAATCCTTGCTCTCAAGGACTTCAGCATTTAGTGGGAATGGTAGAAGGTAAACTGACAATTACCAAACAGCCTGCCACGAGTGAATATTGCTGCCAGCACCAAGAAGAGGCCCTGTTTTGAAATGACTGAGCTAATATAATGCAATAATATAATTTATGTTTTTTATGGTAAAGGGCTCAGTGAAGAACTTCATGGACTGGTTAGCTTCTCCTCTACAACCTGGTTGTCAGGTTGTAACGAAAGCAAATTCTGCCACATATATAAGCATTTATTAAGTAAATGGATTCTGTTATTCTTTTAATCTACTTCAGGAAAACAGAAACTTCCTACACCAATGGACTGGACAGTGGCATTCCTAAGCCGTGAAGTGTAGACTCATTCCATCCCTGTGCAAAAGTTGGAACTCTCTCTGAAGTAGTTCTTTCAGTCTACATAGCTTGAAAACCTTTTATTTCATCAGTAACAATCTCTTTCCAGTATTCATCACCAAACTGATTAACAAGGCATGAATCTCACTGATTAAAATATTTGCTTTGGGAGGAGTGGGGGTTTTTTGTTATTTTGTTTTTTGTTTTTAGCTATTTGCAAAGTCTTGAGTAAAACTTGTCAATAAATGAGGAGCTGCAGAGTTTTTAGTAACTATCTATGGGAGTTCATGTTATCTGGCAACTCCTGAAATACAGATTCTTAATTAGGGCCACTGACCAACTCTGAGTTCAAGCCCAAACTAAATAGTACATATTTATTATTAGATTCTTTATGGTATCTAAATGATACATATTTATTATCAGACTCTTTAGCACATATATTATCATACAGGTGCCTATCCCAGATTAAGGGGTCTGGAAAAGCCTTCCCTCCAGAGGAGGGAAAGCTTGATCTAACCTTGAAAAATAAGGGGAATTGTATCCCAGGCAGACATGGCTAACTATAGAACATTGGAGAAAATTAGGTGAGTTCTGTATGTCTTAAATATGAAAGCATGAGGAAGTCTGGTGAGAGAAAGTAGGGATCCAGATCTCAAAGAGACCCAGTCTGTGAAGTTTGCTTTTTATCTTTAGGATAAAACTTTACTAGAGGTAAGTTTAAAGGCAGAAAGTCCAATTAAAAGAACAGGACAGTTGTTGTTAAGGCAAGATAAAAGATCCTAACCCTAGGCTCTGCTAACAGAGTGAAGAGAAGAGATAAATTCAAATCTTAGTTTTTTTCTCCCAGAAAAATTTTTGGCACCTCCTGTATATGAGTTAAGTGTCCTTCATAGCACCCTGAACCAGTCTATACCAACATACTTACCTTGATATGTTGAAATTGCCTCTTCACTTAATGGTGTATCTCACTTCAGACCACATGTTTCCTCAGGGCAGGAACCACATCAGTTTTATTTTAGTACTGTATCCTCAAATATAAAACAAAATAGTCACTCATAATCCAATGAGAAATATAAGAAAGAATCTCACAGGACTTTGGTTGTTCATGGGAAGTGAGGGTGAAAGGGAAGTGTCTGGCACAGATAATGTAGGAAGAACAAATAAAATATCATTTTTGACCAAGACTTGATTCCCTGCATGGTCAGGTCTTTACCATTTGTGCTGAGCCAGCAGTGACAATCAATGTGAAACTTAGTGCCTAGTTATTACTTCCCTACTCAGGTTTTTATTTTGGTGAAAGAAAAAAAAATATATATATATATATATATGTATATCTACATATATATTCTGGTTCTTATCCTTGAGCTCCTTCTTTCCCCAAAGTCTCATTGACAAATAGAAGTCGCAATATAGCTATTGAACAGTGACTGCCAAAGTGACATGCGTAACCCTTAGGGTTCTCGATCTATCCAAAAAATCTCTTGACCCATAACTAAAAGAAGGGTTGGTGAGTCTGCCATCAACATTGACCCTGTCAAGAGCTGGATTCAAGTGCTGAAGATACAGGAAGAATGCTCCATGGGGCTCTGCTAAGTTCTTGGGACACATGTCTTTCATAGCAGTCACTTTTTAGGGTGTCACTTTTCTATTCTGCTGCCACGTGACAGAGCATATAGCACATTCCACAGCATATATCTTTTCACAAGCATTTTGCATTTAGGTATGCTTTACAAAAGCTTTAGAAATATTTATTGTATAAAATATGTATATGTATAATATATATTGTATATATCATATATATAAAATTTCTTCTTCATTGTGTCTGATGACCTCAAGAACAAAGTTGGAAGATGCATATGCTTCCCTGTGACCTTTTCAGAATTTGATCATGAATGACCAGAAATTTTAAAATCAGGAGGCACTGCTGTTAGATGAAAATTGACACAAAAGTCCAATACAATGCGCTTCCTAGAGTAGATACAAATTGGAGGTGTTGGCAGAATTCAAAGCATTAGTTTGAGGCAACATCAAAGACTACTAGGCTATGATGCATTTCTTTTTGACTATGAAGAAACACTCACCAGGAATTTTTTAGCAAAGCTGGTCTAATGCGTAATCATCAAAGAAAGCATGTTGTCTTCAAGTTTGACCCCAGAAACCTGAATCTACCTGCTGAGTCCTCATTTGAAGCAGATGAACTTTCCCTACTGGTATTTCCGCAAAGACCAACATGCCAGGCTTTTTGGATGGAGGACCCCTCAGGCTGGTCATTCCACTGGAATATTCACAGTTGATGTTCTCTTCAGTATCACTTCTTCCAGTTAGGACCAAGGTACAGGGAATAAGAGAGCACAAAGCCCTTCTAATATCTCTGATTCTATTCGATACTCAACAAGCCTCAGGTGCCAGGCATTGGAGGGACAAAGGTCAGTGAGATATAGTTCTTGCTCTCAGCACATTTACAAGCTAATGGTGACTGAACTCATGAATTTAATATGCAAGCCTCTGAGAAACTGATTTTCAGTTTCTCAAATATTCAAGCATATTTTAAGAATGAAGCTGATTTTTTTTTTTATTC